TCACCTGGGCCCAGGTGATCAAGTATGTAATGAGCTGTGACTGCACTACTGCACTTACCAAATAACCATTTACGTGTCAGACAGTGTCTAAGACATTGGGATATAGCAGTGAACTAAGCAAACGAAGTTTTCCTATAGAGCTCACATTCTAATGGATAATACTTAGTCAATATTCAATAATTCAATATAATTTTTTAAAAATTCTGTTTAGGAGATAGAAATGAACATGGTTGTGAAGCAAAATGAAGCACATATGGAGTTATAAACAAAAAACATTCTATTCCCTCCCAAACCCTGCTAATTCAGTTAGAAGCTCTGTATTACCTCCACAGGAATTTGGGGACTTGGTGAAGGAATGTCTTTCTACCACTGCCCTAACCTCCAATCTGATGGAAGCCCTGCAGCTGCAGTAGGAGTCCTGGGATGATTACACAGTGAATGGCTCATTTTCTAGGGTCTGGAACTGGAGGGTGAAGATGGCACCAAGATCCTGCATTGTCATATGGGGCTAATCAATTTTCCTGCCCGCCAGATTCCATTTGTGTCATCTGGGTTTTATTTTGATTCAGCCTCTTTACTGGCTGCTAATGTCACCTCCTCCTACTCTTTTCAGGTAAGAAGGGGACAGAAAAGACAAAGTCTTTCTCCAGAGCAAGAGTCATGGGAATGGGAGTGTCTCTCCCTGGTGGTTTCCAAGGAAGAAACACTGGCAGGGCCAGCTCTAGGGGCTGGCATTTGCACTGTCTCTCCTACCATAATAATCGGAGGCAGATCCTCTGTTACCACACCTGTGACGGCCATTTAGAAATGTTTTATAGGCCGGGCACGGTGGCTCAAGCCTATAATCCCAGGACTTTGGGAGGCCAAGGCGGGTGGATCACGAGGTCAAGAGATCGAGACCATCCTGGTCAACATGGTGAAACCCTGCCTCTACTAAAACTACAAAAAAATTAGCTGGGCATGGTGGCGCGTGCCTGTAATCCCAGCTACTCAGGAGGCTGAGGCAGGAGAATTGCCTGAACCCAGGAGGCGGAAGTTGCGGTGAGCCGAGATCGCGCCATTGCACTCCAGCCTGGGTAACAAGAGCGAAACTCTGTCTCAAAAAAAAAAAAAAAAGAAATGTTTTATAACTCATGCGTGACCACGGTCCACCGCTTTCCGCACTCTTCCCGCCTTGGCTCCTGCCTCACTTCCCCTTTTACCATACCTCCTATTATTGTCTCCACCACAGTGAGCCCTGCTAATATCAGGGGCTCTTAGAAAAGATGCAGACCAATGTTCAGCTTTCTCAGATGAGGAAACAGGCCTAGGGAAGTGAAGTAGCTAGTCCTAAGCCACACTGCCTCATTTATTTATTATTTCAACAAAGAACATGCTTTCTTACTCTTTTAAGATTTAGCTTAACCAGGCACGGTGGCTCATGCCTGTAATCCCAGCATTTTGGGAGGCCAAGGCAGGTGGATGGTTTGAACCCAGGAGTTTGAGAACAGCTTGAACAACATGATGAAACATCGTCTCTAAAAAAATACAAAGATTAGCTGGGCATGGTGCTGTGCACCTGTAGTCCCAGCAGAGGTGCAAGCCACCACACCTGGAGGCTGAGGTGGGAGGATCACCGAGCTCAGGAGAGCAAGGCTGCAGTGAACAAAATCGCACCACTGCACTCCAGCCTGGGTGCCAGAGCAAGACCCTGGCTTAAAAAAAAAAAAATTAAATCATAAAAGCTCATCAAAGAGACCTTCTCTGAATACTGTGAAGCAGATCCCACCTTCCCATTCTTCTCTAGTGCTGCCCCTTGGTGTTTCTTCTTATTCTTTACCACAATTTCTTTTTTCTTTTTTTTCTGAAATGGAGTTTCACTCGTCGTCCAGGCTGAAGTGCAATGGTGTGATCTCGGCTCACTGCAACCTCCACCTCCTGGGTTCAAGTGATTCTCCTGCCTCAGCCTCCCAAGTAGCTGGGATTACAGGGACCCACAACGACACACCAACTAATTTTTGTTCTTTTAGTAGAGACAGGGTTTCACCACATTGGTCAGGCTGGTCTGGAACTCCTGACCTCAGGTGATCCGCCTGCATCAGCCCCCCCAAAGTGTTGGGATTACAGGCATGAGCCACTGCGCCTGGCCCTTTATCACAATTTCCAGTGGTTTTACTTATTCATCTTTTTATTTTTCTGACTTCTCTACCATACTGCAAGCTCCATGAGAGCAAGAGACATGTACATCTGTTAGAGACATGTTCAGCACTGTATTCTCAGCACCCAGCACATAATAGGTATTCAAGAAATCTTTGCTGAATAAATATATAATGAGCAGGTACCAACCCTCAGGGCACCTGAGGATACAAGGATGGATGGGATATAATCCCTGCTCTCAGAACTGCCTGGTATGAGCAGCAGAACTAGAAATGGAGAATGCAATGAGATCACGTCCAGATTGGAGGAGGGGGAGGATTTTAGGGCACCTAAACCAGGCCTAATCTCTGTTGGACTTTTGCCACCAACCACTAGAACCAAGGACAGAACCATGTGACTGCACCCTGATAGGTGACTCAATTAGGCCCTGAGCATCCGAGCAGCAGCAGGGGCTGACGAATCATCCCAGAGTGTGTGTGCTCGGAGGGACCTGGGACCCATTACCATCTCCAGTGAGAAAGGGCTTGCCAGTTGGTCTCATGGGTCCTGTTTGTGGCCAAGTCCATGGTCACCAAGGGTCCCAGAGACAACCCCATACCTCCTAGCCTAGCCTCCAATCTTCCGCCTGGTCCCTTGCTTCAGAGGAGATCTTGGGGAGTATTAGGGAAAGGAACATCTGCCTAGCCCTTGGGATTAGTGGGGTGACAGATGTCCCTGCTGGTTTGCCTTCATATCTAGAGGGTAGATGGGATACCTCACAGCTCAGAGAAAGCTAGTGTTTCAGAGAGTAAGTGGCTGACCTGCCTTCCTGTTCTGGACTACAAAAGAGAGCTGGTGCTGGCAGGAAGGACTGAAAGGGAACCCAGCAGGAGGAGGAGGAAGGAAGGCAGTGAGAATCCCCTTCTATGAAGAGGAGTCTAGAGCTCTGGCTGGCTCTCCTGTTAGGAGCAGCTCACCTGTCAGTCCAACCTTCTCCCAGCAGTGAGGAAAGATGGCAGCTGCTGCTTCCCAAAGCTCACAGAGAGCAAGAAACCTTTTTTTTCCATCCTCCCCCTTGGAGATTCCCACCCTCCCACCTCAGGAGCCAAAAAGGCAGGCTCAGGTTCCTAGCAGCCTTCGCAGCTAAAGGCTGAATCTGCCAAAAGCCCCTGCTCCGCTCCAATTATCCCCTGCTTCCAAGGTTTGCCCCGCTGTCCACAGAGGATGCTCTTTAGCCAGAGTCCTCCAGCGTTCTCCTGATCATTCCCTACCTGCAGCTAGGCTGACCATGCCTCTGTCCACATTGTTTAACCCATCAGGGAATACTCGAAATGGCTCGTTAACACTTCCTGAGCATTCGCAGGCCGCATTTGGTTCTGATCCCCATTCTTCCTCCATGGGAGTGCTTAGGTGGGGCAAGATCTCCAACTTAGAAAGGTTAAAGTAACTTGCCCAAGGTCACACAGCAGGAAAGTGCAAAAAACTTGTTTTTCTTGCCTAGCAGTTTGGCAGGTGCTCAAATAATCTTTGTGCATAGGGTGAAATTTGTTGTTTCTTCATTGCCCTGACCTGTGGGTACTTGTGGGTGGCCGGGAAGTGGTGTGCGGGGAGGATTGCTGTCCTTCTTCCTGAATGAATCTTTGACTTCCTTAGTTCACTCTTACTTCCATAGAAGTTACAGCATTAATCTCTCTGCACCCTATGTTCAATGTATTTATCACAGCAATGTCCCCTTTTCCAAGAGCAACGAAGAGTAGATCTAATGATTTCCTTCTCAAAAGCTCAAAGACCAAAAAAAAAAAAAAAGCAAAAAACTCCAAATATACAGTCCTGAACTAAACAACCCAAAGCAATCAAAGCACCAGCGGAGCCCCTGCACTGACCGCAGACGCCCCTAACACACGCCACCACGCCACACTGCGCCGGGAGGCGTCGGGGAGGGGGCGCCAGCGCGGGCAGCGGCCGCCGCAGGGAGCCCGGTGGGCTCCGGGAGCGCTGCCAGGAGGAGATGCATCGTGGGGGCCGCTGCCCCTTGCCACGTGGTGGTGGCAGCGGCGGGGTCCGGGGCGCCTTCCCAGCTGGAGAAAGCCGGAGCAGCCGGGGAGGAGGAGGCGGAGGAGGCGGCGGCGGCGGAGGAGGAGCGGGGCGGGCGGGAGGGAGGGGGTTGGGGGGAGGGGTGGGGGGTGGGGAGAGACCCGGCGGCGGCGACAGGGCGAGGAGCAGAGCGCGGTGCCAGGGGGGTGGGGGCACTGGTGCCCGTTTGGGGAGGGAGCAGGCGGAGGGGGTAAGCTGCGATTACAAGCAGGAACCGGCAGCAGCTGTGAGTCCCCGGCTGAGGCTAGGACGGGGGGAGGGGAGCGGCGACCGGGCTCAGCCCCGGGGGTCGCGGGGTGGGCAGGAGGAGACGGCGGGAGGGCGACGTGCAGCGCAAGGGATGTCTGGAAGGGGAAGGGTCCGGCGTCGGCCGTTCGCATCCCCTCCCATCTCCCTCCGCCGCCGCTCCTCAGGCCGCGCCGCCCCCGGAGCCCCTTCCCAGGCCCCGGGAGAGTGTCCGGGGACCCCGGGCTCGGTCGGCTGTGGGGGAGGGGGCTGCGTGGTCTCGGCCCCCGAGAAGGGAGGGGCGACAATTTCTGTCGGCCGAGCGAAAGGGGTTTAAAGGGCGGCTCTTAAAGGGGCCGCAGGAGGGGCCTGGGCAGACCCAGGCACTCACCCCTTCCCCAGCCGCCTTCCTTTGCGCTCACTCGGGCGCTGGGCCCGGAGAAGAATGCGGAGGAAGGAGGCACTGGTGGAAGGGCCCAGGAACAGCCCGGCTAGCGGGGTGGGCGCAGCGGGGCGGGCGGGGGTCTGGGGGGTGTGGTGAGCGCTGGCGCGCGGAGCTGGGGGAGGGGATGGCGTGGAAAGGAAAGGGTTAAAGGTGGGGCCCGCCCTACAAACGCGCGCACACACTCCTTACTCGGACCCAGTCACACGCGTTTCCCTGGCACTTAGATGGGGCTGTGGGTGGTGGGGGGGGGGATTGGATCGGAGCCTGCGCCGGAGCCCTTTGCACCCCAAGCTCCTGCAGCCCGGCCTGGGGGCCCCCGCTGTCTGAACTCACAGCTCCCCGCTGAGCCCCCTCTCCGGGGCACACACACGCTCCAGCGCGCGCACACACCTCGAACAGTCCCCTCGCTTCTCACGTGACACGCGGCCCGAACGTGCCACCCTGCCCACGCGCTCACGCACGCGTGCACACACACCAGCCTCCCGGCCGCTGTCCCACTCCGTCCCGACGCCCCTGCGCCCCCGAAGGCACTCATTGACTGACACACCTACACTCATTCACAGACGCACACTCCCCCACATACGCCAACCCCAGACACACATTCATAACCAGGCCTGCAAGAAGTACACACGCACCCCCTCACTGCCTACTCCTGCTTTCGGGAGGCTGAGTCATTCCTGCCTCCTAGTAGGTTTCCCCATTTCCTGGCGCGCGGGCACCCTGAGACCGCCTTGGGAATTCGTTTGCGTCCCCCTCCACCTAGGCCCCCTTCTGCAGTTTGCGCCCCTTGACACTTAACCAAGGACTTCCTGTGGGTCCCAGGTCAGGGGTGAAGGGATCCTGGACGGCTGCCACAGCCCCGGTGCGTCCGGGGGAGGCGCTTCCTTTTCCTGAACTCTGGGATCCTGCGGGCGGAAGCGGGGAAGTTGGGCGGGGGTGCAGCAGAGGGCGTGCGGACTGTGGTGCAGCCGACCCTCGCGCAGCTCTGGGCCTTCCTTGGGGAGAAGCTGGGGTGCCAGAGGCCCAGGCTGAGGAGCTGGGCGGCGAGGTATTTGGGGAAGTGAGGCCTGGGGTGGAGAAGCGCTGAGGACCGGGCCGGGCTCGGCTGGGAAGGCAGCCCTCTTCCATCCACAGGTCTCCCTGGGTTCTGGCAGGAGCCTGTCCGTGCTGCCGACCTGATTTACTTGTCTCTACTTGAGAACACCCTGGCAGTGGGGTCTTCACGTGTTTCAGCCCCTTTTCCCTAAGGCGGCAGAGAGGATGGGGCTGAGGAGTCTCGGAAGGGGCCATGGGAGTCCCCGCTGAGCTCTGAGTAGGAAGCTTCTGGTTTTGGGTTACATCGCAGCCGGACCAGGGTGTGTGGAGCCAGGGAGAGGGGTACCAGGGGCAAGCCCTAGACAGAAGGCCCTGTCCATGGTTGCTCCTTTTCTCCCAGGAGGCCCCTTGTGGGCCGGGGCCCAGTGGTCACCATGGAGTCCATGTTCGAGGACGACATCAGCATCCTGACGCAGGAGGCCCTGGGGCCCAGCGAGGTGTGGCTGGACGGTCCCGGAGATCCCTCTCTCGCGGGCGACATGTGCTCTGCTTCCCACTTTGCCCTCATCACTGCTTATGGAGACATCAAGGAACGGCTGGGGGGCCTGGAAAGGGAGAATGCCACCCTCCGCCGCCGCCTCAAAGTCTACGAGATCAAGGTCAGAACCTGGAGGGGAGGGCACCTGGTAGTGTGTGGGGTGAGCAGGGGGACTGGAAATCTGGCAGATCCCAGGGATCTGAAAGAGGGGTCATGGTGCAGACTCTTAGGAACTTGAGGGTCTCCCATGAGAGGTGTGGCTGTTCTGGATGGGGACTCGACCCTGTCGGCTTCGGAATGGCTGGATCTGGGATCTAAAACAGATCTGGTTGGTGGGAGATGCTTGAGGGTCCATGGGAATTGGGATCCCACTAGCGAAGGAGAAGGAGAAGGAGGGTCAAGGGTCTGGGGCAGGTTGTGGAGTTGGGGTCACAGCCAGGCTGAGGCCTGGGCTGGGCACCTAGGAACATGCTTTCCTGAAGCCCTACTCCACTGTAGTACCCACTGATCAGTGACTTTGGAGAGGAGCACGGCTTTTCTCTGTATGAAATCAAGGATGGCTCCCTGCTGGAGGTGGAAAAGGTCAGCCTGCAGCAACGGCTCAACCAGTTCCAGCATGAGGTGAGCCTCCCAGGCTGGGCGCACCCCCTGAGCATCTTGCTCTTGTCTGTTTCTGATACCCTTTTCTCCACACCCCCCAGGATCTGGCCTCTGCCCCTTTGATGAGAGATGGTCAGGTCCTCCCTAAGACCAGCTGCAGCTCCTCCTGCACCTCCATAGGGTGCTGGGGGTGGGGGTGGGGAGGTACAGGGAGCTCCCCAGCCCCAAGTCCAGTGTGGGACTGACCCTGCGGCGGGCGCCTCTGGGCCCCATCCAGTTACAGAAGAACAAGGAGCAGGAAGAACAGCTTGGAGAGATGATCCAGGCCTACGAGAAACTCTGTGTGGAGAAGAGTGACTTGGAGACGGAGCTGGGGGAGATGGTGAGTCCTCGGGAGCTGGGGGTGCTTGAGGATGTGTAACTGGTTGTGTGTGTGCGTGTAACTCTATGCGTGAGCATTCTAGGCTGTGACAGTATGCCCCCCCATCTGTCATACACCGCTTGTGTGTGCCCTGCTTGTGTTCACGTGTGTCTGTGAGTGCCCACCTCTTTGGCCTCGTGAGGAAGACTGTGTGTGTTATCCATGTTGCAGTGACTGTGTGCATCCTGGCCATGCAGTGGCCCGTGGGAACCTCTGTCTCTGTGTGTATGTTTGGCCCTCACACTGGGGTGACCCTTTGCCTGTGAGCACTGCCCTGGGGAGGGTGTGAGGGTGAGGGCAGAGGTGACCAGGAGTGTGTGACTACAAGGATGGGCCTGCCCTTGGGTGTGAGTCAGGGTGTGGCTGTGCCCGTGAGCTGGTCAAAATCAGGAGACAGGCCAGGTATTGTGGCTCACGCCTGTAATCTCAGCACTTTGGGAGGTCAGAGAGTTTGAGACCAGCCTGGGCAACATGGCAAAACCCCATTTCTACCAAAAATACAAATAAGAAATTAGCCAGGTGTGGTGGTGCACACCTGTGGTCCCAGCTACTCAGGGGCTGAGGTGGGAGGATCACTTTAGTCCAGGAGATCAAAACTCTGGTGAGCTAAGATTGAGCCATTGCCCTCCAGCCTGGGTGATAGAGGGAGACCCTGTCTCAAAAAAAAAAAAAAAAAAAATTCTGGAGACATGGTCTCAGCCTCAGCCAACCCCAAGCCATAACTTCAGTTACTTAGCCTCTCAGATGAGTAAAAAAAAAAAAAAACTTACTTAGCCTCCATCCCTCCTCTGAAAAGTGGGGCAAATAATCACACCCTTGACAGGCTGTGGTGAGGGTGATGGGGCATTCATGTATAGATGCTTTGCCTTCATAATCACAAATATGTATGTGGCACTTACAGTGTGCCAGATACTGTTCTTTTCACCTGGTGTGTATGAACTCATTTTGATTCTCAAAACAACCCTAAGAGGTGAGTGTGGACTGCTATCCCCATTTTATGGATGAGGTGAGTGAAACCCAGAAGTTCCTGTCACGTATGCAAATAGAAGTTCTGATGCTCCCGAGGGGGGTTGGCCTTCGAACAGGTGGCTGAGTGTTAAGTGTCCCTGTGTGTTAATGACAGAGCAGAGGCTTTAACTTGACCTCGCCAGGGGCAACAGCCTGCAAGAGCTGCATTTCGGTGGCTGAGAGATGAGACTTCGCACTCCAGGCCACTTGAAGAGTGGCCTTGGGATGTGTGACCTGGGGCCTCTCCAGACATGGGGACGTCCTGGGCCTGTGCAGACCCTCACCTGTCTTCCTCTCCAGAGGGCCCTGGTGGAGACGCACCTGCGCCAGATCTGTGGTTTGGAGCAGCAGCTGCGGCAACAGCAAGGCCTCCGGGATGCAGCCTTCTCCAACCTGAGCCCGCCGGCAGCCCCCACCCCGCCCTGTGCTGATCTGGACCTGCACTACCTGGCACTGAGAGGGGGATCTGGCTTGAGTCATGGTGAGATCTCAGTGACCCCGACTTACCTCCTAGTCCTCAGCCCCTATTTCAACATTACTAGACATCTCCTGCTTACTTATCATCCCATTTGTAATACAGTCTATATCTCCATAATCTCCCCTTCGTCCCTTCCGCACTGTCCCCTTACATCACCCACTGTTACCCTAATTTCTCCCCTTCTATCTCGGGCATTCCTGATCACCTCATTGCAATTCCTGTGCCTGCCAGCAGAGGGCACCCTCACCCAGAGTCCCCCCACTGCCCGTCTCTGGCTGTGACTAGGAGAGGCCCCTGAAGATGCTCTAGACTTGAGCCTGGCCAGTAAGGCCTTCAGGAGCCCGTCTTATTTTTTTCCTGGCCTCCAGGAAGATTAGAAATGTGGCTCAGCCCATCTTTTCTCACTGCCCTTGTCTGGGTCACCCTCCTTGGCTAGCTGTCCTGGCTTCTCTCTTGGATCCCCCATGCTGCATCCTCCCTTGTTTCACTCTGTACTCTGGGAGCTGGAGGAGGCAGCCGAGCCCACCTGATGTCCTCTCCCCCAACAGCAGGCTGGCCGGGCTCCACGCCCAGTGTGAGTGACCTGGAGCGGCGGCGGCTAGAAGAGGCTCTGGAGGCCGCGCAGGGAGAGGCCCGGGGGGCTCAGCTCCGGGAGGAGCAGCTCCAGGCTGAATGCGAGCGGCTGCAGGGGGAGCTGAAGCAGCTGCAGGAGACCCGAGCCCAGGTAAATGCAGGGGCCTGGAATAGCCTTTGGAGGTCCAGGGCTGGGCCTTCCCCACTGTGTGCAGACTGGCCCAGCGAAAGGTAGAGAAGGGCCCTGTCAGGGGTGAGCTTGGGCTCTGACCTCTCCATCTTCTTCTTTAGGATCTGGCCTCCAACCAGTCGGAGCGGGACATGGCATGGGTGAAAAGAGTTGGGGATGATCAGTAAGTCACATCGGTAACCCTAACCCTGGTCCCCCTAGGTTTGCCTTTTGTCCCTCTGTATTGTTTGGGAGACCTCTCCCCCCAGCCCTCAGGGGTGTGGCGTGTGGGCTGCTGTTGCTCTGCATCCTTCATAGGAAAGAAGTGGGGTTCTTTTTTTTTTTTTTTTCCCCTGAGAGGGAGTTTCACTCTTGTCACCCAGCCTGGAGTGCAGTGGTGTGATCTGCAACCTCTGCCTCCCAGGCTCAAGTGATTCACCTGCCTCAGCCTCCTGAGTAGCTGGGATTACAGGCATGCACCACGCCTAGCTAATTTTGTATTTTTAGTAGAGACGGGGTTTCTCCATGTTAGTCAGGCTGGTCTCGAACTCCTGGGAGTTGGGGTCCTTGAGTGATTGTGATTGGGATCTTTTCTTTTTTCTTTTTTAATTTTCTTTTTCTTTTCTTTCTTTCTAAAGAAGAAGAGTGATTGGGATCTTTTCTTTCCTCTGGGGCCCGAGCCCATCTCTTCTGGAGATGCCGGGGCTAAGTGACACTCGGCTGCCTTCCTGCTGCATGTGTTCCCTACTGAGCTTTGGGCCTCCATAGGGCCCCATTTTCTATTCCAGTGACAAAGCCCAGCCAGTTGGGTTCATCCTCCCCTCCTTAGTGAGGAAGAGGGAGTTGGTGTCTGTTGGGATTTGTTGGGCCTTGTCTGCTGATCTTGGGAGAGAGAGACGTGAGGCTGAGAGACAGGAGAGGCGTCCATGGGTTCACACAGCTGTGGGGTGGGGAGTTAGAATCTGCTCTGCTGGGGTGCTCCCTGGAATCCTACCAAGAAAGGGGTAGCAGGGAGTGGCAAGGGAGCTGTGTCAGTGAGGAGCCTGGCTCTGGGGCCTCCAGGGGCACTGGGCAGCAAGGGAGGGATGAGCAGCCACCCGGCAACAGTGAAGCCTGGTGCCTTTCACATCCGCACCGAACTAACCCTCTCCCACTTTCTGAGAAACAGAGCTCAAACCTCTTTCCGCCTAAGTCCTCTCCCCTAAGATGATCTGTGTGGCACAGACTCCCTACTCTAATGGGAGGGGAAGACTGAGGCTCAAAGAGGGTCAGGAACTAACCCTCCACTGCACAGCAGCATACCCAGCTCTGGGGCTCCAGAGGTCTCCTGCTCAGCAGGCTTCTTCCTCATCTTCCTCCCAGCCTCTGGCCAAGTGGGGCTACCCCTCTCATGCCTCCCCACCTTAAGGTGAAGGCTTGGGTGGAGCTGTGATAGCTAGGGAGGTGGTGAGAACCCAGTTCGTGGGACTAGTGGGTGGGACTCCTCAGCTAGGCCCTTAGTGGAGAGGGTCCGCCCTAGCTTGTGGCTGGGGTTTGGGCCCATTGTAGCCGTGTGCCCAGACCTGGAACACACATCCCACACACACATTCTTGAACCCTAGCTTGCCCCGGAAGTCATGCTGTAGGGCCCTTCGTGGGTCGCTTAGCCCAGTACCCTCTTATCAGACCAGCAGTGAAGCTCCCCAAGTTTGTAGACCGCCAAGGGAGGACATTCTGGTGGGGCTGGAGTCTGGCTCTTCAGGCTTTGAATCCCAGGGCCCTTTCTTTACTGACTTGACTCTACTTCTCTGGATCCCAAGCTTCCCTCATGGACTCAGGGGCCAGTCATTGCTGAGAGACGGGAGAGGAAGGTGAGGAGGTGGGCAGAGGCAGAGAAGGGGCAGTGGCTCACCAGGGGCCAAGGTTGTGTTGTGTGAGTGAAAGGAAGCCCACCTCATAGGGGGCTAGGAGGCCACATCATCCACGCTGCCCATTCTGGCCACCACAGCCCCTTCCCTCCCTCCCGCAAGGTACTTGCCCTCCTCAGGCCCTTTGGCTGGAGGGAGCGAGGCTCTGCCTGGGACCTGGCCCTGCAGCTTTACCAGAGGCCATCTCCTGGTTCCTCCCCGCCTTCACTGTGGTAGCTCTGCCTCGGCCTCCCAGATCTCTGCATCTGGAGCCAGCCAGGCCCTGTTGCCCAGCCACACGCTTCCTTTCAGGCCCGGCGAGGATCTCTGGATAGCCCTGGTTTGACAAGCGTTAATTCTCAGGAAGTCTTCACTCCCCCAGTAGTTTTATTTTCTTATAAACTCAGCTCCTTTTGGTAATAGGCTGCTTCCCGAGGGCTCCCTCCTCTGTCCTCCCCCCCCAGGAAGCTCAGTCACTTGCTTTCAGCTCCTCTTCCCCACTGGTACCCTTCTTCCTTCTGCTTCCACCTGACTTTCCAGGCTGGAGGGAGTTTTACAAGTAGGCTTTTCTGGGAGTGGCGAGAGCGCAGTGGCTGGATGATCCAGGCTGGGGGTGTGATTGGGGCGAGGAGGACCAGGGTGTGCAGGCTGAGGAGGGGACACACAGTTCCTGAGTCCAGCCCACGCTTAGCTGGGAGTCTTCTGTTATGGCGACAGGTGCCCACCTGTCCTGGTCCGGACACCTCCAGGGCAGCCAGTTTTATTCCAGGAGTCAAGGTTAACCCCCAACCCCCAAATCTCTATTAATTCCCTTCCCTGCATCCTAGTCCCAGCCTCAGGGTTTCCCAGTCCCTCCCCTCCCGGCCCCTGGCCCACAGGTTCTGGTCATTAATGTTCTCTTGAAAACAGACACCCAGACCAGACAGGGCCAGACTGCTACCCTCCAGGGAGCCCAGCTCCTGGGGACAGAGCCCAGGGGGACAAACTGCCCTAGAGGAGGAGCCACTGGGGGTCACGCAGAGGCCAAAGGCAGTGATGAGGGAGGCAGTGGGAGCAGAGCCCGCCCTGCTCCTGAGGATACACAGGGAGGTAAAGACCCCTGGGGGCCCCAGCCCAGGTGGCAGGCGCAGCACCCACAGCCCCCTCCTCTCTGGGCCCACTCCCTGGCCTGGGGCTTCTGGAGGGTGCGGCTGTGCTGAGAGGGAGGGGAAATTGCGGGGGGGGGGCGCTCTTGAGGGGGATGACGTTTCTGAGGGCACAGGGGGTCTGGGACAGGAATGAAGGCCCAGCAAGGGAGGGTGGGCTCATCTGTGCAGGGTCCATCTGGGAGAAGATGGGGACCCAGTATGGGAATGAGGAGAAAACTTCAGGCCTTTCTTTCTTCCCAATGTTGGGGGCTCAGCACTGCAGCCCGGGCCCTTTTCCGCACCCCCCACCCCACCCCTCTCTCCACCCACAAGCCTCTGCGTGGGCTGCGGTTAGTGGTGGGAAGAAGTGTGAACTCGAGAGAGAGGATGGAAACTCTGCACGGAGGTCAAGGGCAGCATGGGGTGGGTCAGGACGGAAGTCGGAGACCCCCGCATACCCTGAGCGTAGCCTCCTGCCCCAGAACCAGCGGGCCCAGGGCCTCCCCCTTCACGCTTCTCACCCTCCCTACTTCCTTTCTTTCAAGTCTTCTTCGGCCAGGGCACCCTCGCTGCGCTCATAGGAGTTAACCCCTAAGTACTTGCAGCCTGGGGGCTCACACAGGCTGGTGAAGGGCTCCAGGTGGGTCTGAGGGGTGCGTGGGCTTTTTCAGCCCCACTCCTTGGTGCTTTGCCTGCCAGCAGGGTGGGGCAGCTGGTGCCGGCACCCTCTCCTTTCATGGGAAATGCCCATCTTCCCTGCTTCTTAAACCAAAGCCACTAGGCTGGTGTCTCCAGAAAGTCTCAAACGAGTTTCCTCCTTTCTCCACCTGTCTCCTGGGCACGCTCCTGATTTATTTATTTATTTATTTTTGTCCATGCCAGACACTATGCGAGCCTGTGTTTGAATCTACAAAATCTCATTGCATTCCTGCAAATGTGATGTAGGTATTGTCCCCCTTTTACAGATTAGCAAACTGAGGTACAGAGAAGTGAAATAATCTGAGAAGTTGAGTAAGTTCAGTACACATGCCAAGCGGATGGGGCGATGGGGCGATGGCACTTCTGCGTATGTTTCTGGTTCAGCGTCTTCAGGTGGAAGGCCCTTCTATGAAGGGCGACCATGTGATTTGTTGACCAAACTGGATCACTTTTGAAAGTGAAAGGGGGCACACTGATAATTATGCTGGGGCGACTAGTGTGACCCAGGACAGTCCTAGGCACACTGGGACCTCTGAGTACCCCACCTACATGGGAACCCTGGTTTCCAGGCCTACCCCTGAGCGGCTCCGATCAGCCGCATCTGGGAAGGTATCTAGACCCGGCGTGTCAGCTCTGGTGGATTTGTGGCAGTGGCTGCCATGAAGAGCCGGACTCTGAGGATCCACCTGGCCTAGGAGAGTGAAGGGGCTCAAGGCGCCTGAAAGGAAGTGGTGGAGCACTGGGTTGTTGCAAAGCAACTTCCTCCTCCCCGAGGCCCGCAACCTCAAGTCCGCTCCACGGCCCGGTGCCTGTGGTCCCCTCCCCGAGGGTCGGGCGGCAAGACCGACGCTGGGTGTGTCTGTAGGTGGTGGAAAGTTTGGTCCCTAAATTCCCCCACAGGGGCGAGGTGGCTGGGGCACCACCTCGAGGATGGAAGGGCCCGGGAAGGCTGGATTTCTGTCTCCCTCTCAATGCTGAATCAGATGATGTTTCTGACCATGTGAACAGCTTTAAACCTAACCCTAATCCTAACCCTTTTACTGTTCCCATCCCTGACTCTAACCCTAATCCTGACCCTCAACTCTGTCCGCAATCTTAGCCATGTGCTACATCAACCCCACTCCTAGAGTGACGAGTGACCCTGGCTCCTTGAATCCTGTCCTCAAGGCCATCCCCAGCTCTAATGACACTGCACTAGCCTGAATTTGGACCCCGAGGCATCCTCACCTGTCTCCAGGGCAGCACTGGGCTCGCGAGAGCCCAAATGTCTCACAGCTGGTGTGGGTGGAAAGAGGCTATTTACAGAGGAGGTCGCTTAGGTGGTAGACCTTACAGATCTCAGTTGCTTTAATAGTACAATGAGGATTATCGTCTCCAGAAGTGTGTGAGATCCCTAAATTATTCGTGGAAAGACTGAATGAAAGGATATGAAGGGTGGAATGATTTGCAGCCCAGGGAGCCCTCCTTCCTGCCAGCTCTGCCATTTGCTCTCTGGCTCCTCTGAAGGTGCCAGCTCGGCAGGCTGAGGTGCCAAGAGCCTGTGTTTGAATCTGCTGTGTGCCACTGCCACTCTGTGACCCTGAGCCAGCCTCTTAATCGCTCTGATCTTCCATTTCCACATGTATCTAGCACCTTCCTTTCCCTCCCAGAGAAGTGGTGGTGATTCTCAGGGCTTCCAGCCCACTCCCAAGGTCCCCAGCCCCCTCCTCCTCTTCCCCTTTCCCTTCTGCTGCTGCCTTGCCTTTCCTCTCCCCTCCTTCCCAGTTCTTTGGGGGATGGTATAGCATTGTCTGGACTTTGGAGTCTAGAGGGCCAGAGCTCCCATGCCAGCAACTTCATTACTAGTAGGTTTTATGACTTTGGTCAAGTGACTTAACCTCTGTAAGCCTCGGTTTTCTGATCTATAAAAGGAAGGTCACAGTGGCAGTGCCTTAGGGTTGTTGTGCAGATGAATAAAGTTCTTAGCAGAGTGCCTGGCCCGGGGTGAGCACTCATACAGATCATCTGATTCTTTTCTCTCTGGGTGCTTCCCAGGTTCTGAAAGGCTCCACACTTTCTCCTGTCATGTAATCAATACAGTGGCATCCAGATGCAGCCATGTGCTGCCATTTACCTGACCCATTCTTCCCAAACAGTCATGATGGCAAAAAAGTACTCAGGTGTGGGCCAGGAAGCCAGGAAATGGAATGTGTATTTAGGCGCACGTGTGCAACACTTGGTTGTATTGTGAAGTCGAGATTTTTATTCCACTGAATTGGCAGTGTTTTCAGAGTCATTGAGGTCGATGGCATCTTCAGCGGCCCAGGCCTTTGCATCTTGACATGGGGAGAGACAGTCAATGAAGGGGGAGGTCCCAAAAGGCCACAGGGCATCAGGAGGAGGTCAGGTTGATCACCTTGCTGGGGACTTAGCAGTCTTTGTGAAGGTTGCCTGAAGCTCTGGGTGGACAGAACCCACCTGCCCCAGGCCCCAGGTGGCAGAGCTGGGAGAGGGGCTGGGCATTCTGGGCCAGGGGCTGCTTCCTTCCATTCTCGGCCACCCTGTCTGTTTCACTATGAGAAAGATGCCAGGAGCTGGGTGGTAGAAACTGGGGTAGCTCCTGACAAGGGGAGGGAGGCAAGCAGGGGAGTGACAGGGGCCTGGGAACTGAGTATAGCAGCTGAAATCTTTGAGGCGGGGTGTGAAGATGACGACCTGTATCTGTCACCTGAGATACAGCAGTGAAAGTGGATGGGTAGAGAAGCTGTGGCTATGTGGGCAGAGGACCACACTCCATCCGTGTCCTGCCCAGAGCCCTCTCCTGACCCTGCTGCCAAGGGGATAGCACGATCCTGTCCTCCGAAAGCCCCCAGTCTGAGCTCTTGCCCTCAGGTGTCCTCCAACCTGGAGGGGGAGCCTCCCCTTGGGGAGCCCCTGATTTGATGTGGGACACACCTGGACCTCCCAGTCTGATGGGGGAGATGCCATTTCTTCCCTCACCCATAAGCTGAGGGTGAGGGGGCACAGGACACATTTAGCAAAACGAGGGCTGAGATGTGATGGGATGGAGGCTGCAGGGTCTCAGCAGTGGCTTCTGGGACTCCTTCCCCTCTGCCTGCCTAGCCCTACCCACCATCAGATGGGCGGTGAGGACTCTCCCTCCCTAAGAAGAGGGCTGTCTCTCAGAGACTTGGCCCATTTGCAGTAATTTGGCTTTGGCCCAAATGGGTTAAAAATAGTCTTGTGGGAGGGGCAGTTTCTGCCCCAGGATTAGTAAGAAAGAGCCGGTGAGCAGAGCAGGGAGCCCTGCCTTCTGAAGCCCTAACCTCATGACTTCCCCTCCTCTCCTTTAGGGTTACACACACACACACACACACACACACACACACACACGCCCCTAAGGTTCACTCACCCCTTTCCTCATTCATCAGCTTGGCCTCTCACCTGCCTCCACACTCTCCCATCCACATGTCCATCACTATGGGGTGGGGACAGCATCCTCCAGGCTTTACAACTGGGCCCTCTTGACCTCTGTGTCCTGAGACAAGACCTCCCCTGGGAGGAGATCTGTCTGGAGTGACACCTGGTATTTCCTTCCAGCTCCAGCTTCCACCCAGTTCCAGAGTCCTTTCTGGAGCTGGAGGTTGGGAGAGCCAAAGAAACCTAAATCTCTGCCTTCAGGGAGATTCAGGACTCTGTCCACACTTAGAACAGTGATGAAGGCAGGACCCAAGGGCATGGCAGAGCCTCCCATGAGGTCTGAGAGGGCTCCTGGGGCCATGCAGGCCACAGCAGGAGAAAGCAGAGGGCAGTGGAGTGATGACCTTCCATGGTTCTGGGTTGCAAGTGACCTAGAGAGAAAGGAACGGAAAAGGAAGTGAGTGAGGCTCCTTGCCAAGTCTGTTCCAGCTCCATGAGGGTGGGTGCCCAAGATGCCTGAACAGGAAGCAGGGAGGAAGAAAGGGAGGGAGAAAGAAAATTGGAGGGAGAGGCTCAAATGCATCATCCACTTACTCAACACCTGCTGGGTTCCAGGCCCTGGACAAGGTGCTGGGAATATAAATACAGTGACATAATCCTCACCATCAGGGAACTCCCCATAAAGTTCTAGAACAAGGCAGCCTTTGAAAAGTGCCTGGTGTGACTGGCACTCCCTGCAAGTGTGCAGTGAACAGTTCCCAAAGATCTCAGTGTGAAGGTCCTGATGGACTTGTACAGCAAGGTCCTGGAAGGGGCAAGGCTACAAAGAGCCCAGAGGCAGCTCTGAGGTCGAGCCAGGAGCAGTGCACATGGACTGGGGCTGGCTTGGGGTGAAGTTTATCAGTTAGCACCTCCACCAGCCAGGGAACCATCTTCACTTATGGAACCAGCTATTCTATGCAACAGGGTCCCCAACCTTTTCAAAGGTGAGGACTCTTCATGGATCCCACTCCCAGTATACAGATTCTACTTAAAACACTTTTAGTATGCACTGCTTGAGAAAATTCACAGTGGCAGAAGCTACTATAAATTCAGTGCAGCTTTTTGATGAATCTGTGCTTTAATTCATCATTACAGCTTTTGCACCGATTAGAAAAACATTCACTCATACTTGTATGAGCTGTGTTCAGACCACCAATAGTGCCTAATGCATGCAGGGATTCTGGGAGCCCTTGGAATCTCTCTGCTCCCTGTCCCTGCACTCAGGCTGATAACCACTGCCCTAGCCCAGGGAATGGGTCTCAGGATGCAGAGGGAGGTTCCCTGGAAGAGGTGGCTTTTGAGCTGGACCTTAAAGGTAGGGAGGATTTCTGCAATTGGAATTGGAGGGCCCTGCGGGTGGGAGGTAGCACGGTGGGGCCAGATGCTGGGGCAGAGCCAGTTCTTCCTCCACAGCTGGGGCGGTAGACCCACTGTCCCTCTCTTCTTCGCCACTGCCCTCTGACTTCAGGGTGAATTTGGCGCTGGCCTACACGGAGCTGACGGAGGAGCTGGGCCGGCTTCGGGAGTTGAGTTCCCTGCAGGGGAGAATCTTGAGGACTCTATTGCAGGAGCAGGCCCGGAGTGGCGGTGAGATGGGGCAGGGCAGGGGGAGGCCGCCGCGGGACCCCGGGAAAGACTGGGTAGCCATGGCAACCATCTTGGTCCTGGGCACCACCCTCTAGTTCCTTTCCTGTGGCCTGGAGTGGGTGGGCATGAATCCGGGCAAGACGCCGGCGCCTCAGTTCTGAGGTCTTTTCTCTGCACCTTTGTCTCCCCACCCTGTCCTGGTTTCTCTTGCAGGCCAGAGGCACTCGCCGCTGTCGCAGCGCCACTCTCCGGCCCCCCAGTGCCCCTCCCCCTCCCCGCCTGCCCGAGCGGCGCCCCCGTGCCCCCCGTGCCAGTCCCCCGTGCCCCAGCGCCGCTCTCCCGTGCCCCCATGCCCTTCGCCGCAGCAGCGCCGCTCACCAGCCTCGCCCTCCTGCCCGTCGCCCGTCCCGCAGCGCCGCTCGCCGGTGCCGCCGCCGTGCCAGTCCCCCAGCCCGCAGCGCCGCTCCCCGGTGCCCCCCAGTTGCCCAGCCCCGCAGCCTCGGCCGCCCCCGCCGCCTCCGCCGGGCGAGAGGACGCTGGCCGAGCGCGCCTACGCCAAGCCGCCCAGCCACCACGTGAAGGCCGGCTTCCAGAGCCGCCGCAGCTACTCGGAGCTGGTGGAGGGCGCGGCCTACGCGGGCGCCTCCCCGCCCTGGCTGCAGGCCGAGGCGGCCACGCTCCCCAAGCCCCGGGCCTACGGCGGCGGCGAGCTCTACGGCCCCGGCAGGCCACTCAGCCCGCGGCGCGCCTTCGAGGGCATCCGGCTGCGCTTCGAGAAGCAGCCGTCGGAGGAGGACGAATGGGCTGTGCCCACCAGCCCGCCCAGCCCAGAGGTGGGCACCATCCGCTGTGCGTCCTTCTGCGCTGGCTTCCCCATCCCAGAGTCGCCCGCCGCCACCGCCTACACCCACGCCGAGCACGCGCAGTCCTGGCCATCCATCAACGTGAGTGGGGCACCCGCGTTCCACCCACCCCGGGGCTTGAGAAGACCCCAGAGCCCCACCGTCCATTGGGTGCCCCTTTTGGGTGTCAGCACGCAAACTATTCACCCTCCTTGGACCCCTGGCCACAGTCTAGGTCCCTTCACCTCTCTTTCCCGTGGCCTTCCATTGCCAGAAATTGGGGCCTGCCCCATTAAGATTTCGTTCATTTCCTTGAATAAGGATATGGTCTTTGGAGTGACAGTCCAGCCTTTGATTCCAAATTCCACCACTTAATAGCTCCGGGACCTCGTGCAAGTTACTTATCTTCTCTGATCTTCAGTATTCTCATCTGCAAAATGGGAACGATGATGATAGTATCTGATTATCTTACAGGGTTCTTAAGAAGCAGGCAGTGAGCTTAAAGCGGTTGGCACAGTGCTTGGCTCAAGCATCTGTTATTATATTGGCCATGGTGATGGTGGCTACTGACCACAGCCGGCCGCCAGCCAACAAAGGAACAGGCCTGTTGGTCCAGCTCCCTCCTTCTGGCCTCAGAGCCCTTTCCCTTTTCTATCTGTCCTAGAAGACAGAAGCCTATCTCAGGGCTCTGTTATTTCACAGAAATAATGAGTTCCCTGAATGTCAGAGCCACCCCTTGCAACCTGGAAAGACCAAAATATACTCCAAAGCCAGACAGAAAATTATTTTGGGGTTGTACATTGTTTAGGATTGTCCATTGCTTTGAGTGATCTGGGAGCTGTCTCTTAGTCACTCTGGGGGCATGTCTGGGTCTTGGCTTCCCTCATTACTACAGATGTCCTGGCAAGCTGAGCAGTGGCTCTCTCATATCTGCCTCCTGGGGACCCTGTCCCTGGGCAGGGGGGTGGACACTGAGCTGGTGTGGGGGAGGATGGTGCTGGAGAAAGGGTGCCCAGACCCCTCCTGCATGCCACAGCCCTCCCTGGGTCCTGGACAGGGCAGGCTGGGATGTGGGGACCATGTTGGGGGCTGGGGACGATAAGTGACTTGCTTCTCTCTCCACAGTTGCTTATGGAGACAGTGGGCTCTGACATCCGCAGCTGTCCCCTCTGCCAGCTGGGTTTCCCTGTCGGGTACCCAGATGATGCCCTCATCAAACACATTGACTCCCACCTGGAAAACAGCAAGATCTAGGCCGCCACCCCGACTCACTGGCTGTTTCTCTGTCCTCTCCTATCACCCCAAACACTCACTTTGAATGCTGCATGAATCTCGTGGGGGGCCCCTGCCCCTTGCGACCCCCAGATACCTCCACTAGCTACCGAGTCAACGTGTGTGCCGTCTTCCCTGGTCCAGGCACCACTCAGCTCTGGCTCTTCCTGGGAGGTTAGCCAAGGCTCCCCCCACGCTCCTGGTTTCCGCTTCGGAGGTGGGGACTTGGGCTGGGATGGGGACAGCATACCCCTCCCAGGCCTCTCCCTCTGCCTGTCTGTTCTTAAACAGAATTGGATCCAAGAAGGTATCTAGTGCTTGGGCCTGGAGTGGGGGGAAGGTGTTAGAGGACTCCAGGAGCTCCTCTACCCCTCCCCAAATGTCCATGTTTCTTAGACCAGGCTCTGTCTGGGGAACACCCACAGGCTGTCTTTGGGGTCCCAGGGCCTGCTCTGTGCACTGACTCAAGTATCTCCATCCCGTGGCCAGCTTAGGGCTCATGGCATGGGCCCCCACTGGGGGAGGAAGGCATCTTGTTCCTTGCCATTCTCCGTAGGCCAGCCCTGTCCTCCTTTTCCTGTTCTGTCCACTCTGGCAAAAAGGGAGGGGAGGAGCAGAGAGGGAGGATTCTGGAGGACTGGGAAGATCTAGCCAAAAGAGGCTTCTCAGAGAGCCAGAGCCCTGCACCGTGCCCCTATGGCCAGGGGACTGTCTTCCAGCCTCCCAGGCCCATGCCCTCCTTCTGGCACCTCTGGTACTGAGGCACAGATCATCAAGGCAGATGCCCCCTCAACCCTTATTCCACGGAGCCCCTGACACCACAGGTGCCCTGGAGCCCTTGTGTGACTCAGCCTCTGTTAGCTGGGTGGGTGTCATCAGCCCCTGCCTCCCAGGCCAGAACCTGAGGACGGGCCCAGGGTGCTGTGGAGATCAACTTCAAAAGAGCTAACCCCTTCCCACACCCCACCCACCCAGCTACATTTCCTCTGTGAAATCTACCTCAGAGTCATACCCTCAGAAGGACGGGTAAGCAGGAGGCCAGGGGGTCCCCAGGGCTTGAGGTAGGGAGCCTCCTATGGCGAAAACCTACTACCCCACAATGAATCCACCCCCCTCCACTGCGCGCCTCTCCCAGGTCTCAGCTCCAGGCGAGGAGCAGTGGCTGCTACTGATAGCGCATGTCCCGCTCTGATCCAACTCTTCCAGGCCCCACCTCCCCGCACCCCTCCCCTCCATAGAACAGGGGAGTGAAGGGGTGTGTTGGGCAGGGAAGGAGCAAAGGACACTTGTCATTGAACCCTGATCGTCCCCAGGGAGGGGAAATGGGGAAGGGGGCCTGGAGAGGGGAGGCGGGGGCCCCTGTGCTCTCTGAACAAGTTGAAAGTCCAAATAAAACTTACCTGTTCCATCTGCGCTCAGTCTGTGCCCTCTGTGGCTGGGGGTAGGGTGGGGGTGGGTAGAGCCTTCAGCAGCAGGGGACTGTGACCATGGGAGGTAGACACTGGGCAAGTAGGGGATACCTGGGGCACCCACATGCAGAGAGGTTCTGGAGATGCAGACATGTAAGTGGTCGCAGATGACTTGTGATGTGGCGGTCATTAGAACAGATAGAAAGCAGCCACTCAGCCCCGAGCAGGCAGACCTCTTGAATTTCCCACCCAGTAGGTCTGGCCAGTCGAGGTGCTAAAGCCCTTGGGTTTGTTTTCAGTAGCAGTTATGTCTTTATCAAATGATTTTTACACATCAGGAACCAGTCTGGGGCCTCAAAGAGGAAGAACATCCGTGTTCCATGTTCTCATGGGTCTAAGAACAGGGGAAGGGCTGGGTTCCAGGCTCAGCAGCTGCCTTGGAAGGTCAGAGCTGGGTCATGAACCCATGACTTCTGCCCCAGGTCTGCAAAAAGTGCTTCAGTGACTTGTTCATCAACTGGATGCCTTTCTCTTCCATGTGGCCCTTTTTGGCCAATAGTTCACTTAAAAACAAAAAGAGGGTGGGGCGCGGTGGCTCACACCTGTAATCCCAGCACCTTGGGAGGCGACAAAGGCAATTGCTCATTGAAGGTGTGAGGTTCAGTGCCAGACCCAGGGCAAATGTGCCTTCTGGTCCGGTGCCAAAGTCCAGACCCCTGTGGGAAGACTTCCCAGCCACCCCGGATTCTCTGTTGCTGTTAAAAACTATGCTGCCCCCTCAAAGTTCATCCCAGCTCAATTCTGTCTGCAGCCAAGTCCTGAGTGCCAGAATTTCGACCAACCATCCCCATGTGACACGGCTTCACAGCCCTGGGGAAGGAGGTTCTGGAACCTTTGGTACATGGGTGCTCAGTGCCCCCTGCTATATCTTCACCTCCATGGAGGAAGGCAGAACCCGAGTTTCTGGACCTGGGTGCCATTTGGATCTTTGGAGGCACTTAGGAGTCGTGCATGAATGAATAATGGTGGTTTAGGGACACACAAGGCAAAGAGAAATCCTGCTGCTGAGAAAAGGCACAGAGGATGGCGGGGAAGGAGAGCACAGAGGCAGGCGGATGACCCAGGAAACCACTGCTGGTCCTTGCGCATGTCTGAAGGTGGGAGGGAACCCAGGTGTCCCGAAACCTGGACATTCCCCTGTCAGCAGGGTGAGGGGGAGTGTGGGGACACAGGGCCAGGTTCTGGCAGCTTGTCTCCTTGATTTCTAGGGACCTGGGAGAGGGCTTAGGTGCAGGGCGGAAAGTTGCTGGGGGCTGGGAGGGAACACTGGGAAGGAGAGAAAGCTAGCCTGCTCCAGCGTTTCCCTTTCCTCTAATGCCTCCCCACCCACCAGAAGGAGAGGACACGGTGTGGGGAGCTGGGGGAGGGCTGGGGAGCCCTGCCAGTCCTTATCCCTTCTCTTTCTAGGACTGTGATCACGGAAGGACACTTGCTGCTCATTACTCTGTGGAGACAGGGAGGCGGGGCACTGGGGCTGAGAAAATGCGGGGCAAAGGGGTCTCTAGGCTCCTGGAAAGGGGAGGAGGGCAAGATAGCTGCTGCAGGAGCAAGGGGGAGGAAGGGGAGACCTCTGTCGAGGCTGGAGAGACACATGGGGGACGCACTCACTCTCCCAAAGCCAGACATGCAGGCGTGGGGGAAGATGACTTCCCGAGGAACAAGCCACCCTAGGGTGCATCGCCACATGCTGAATTAAAGGCCAGTGTCCCACAGTCTTTCTGGCTCTGACCCTTCTCCCCACACGGCTTCCCCAGCCAGAGATACCAGGCCATGGAGACACCTGCCCCTGGCCTGGGTCCCCCTGCAGGCTGTGTCAGGTGATGAGCTGAGCGCAGCAACAGCTCCTTTCGGCAGCTCGTGGTGTGTGTACGTGCACACGTGTGCTGGAGAGAGTATGGCGCGGTGGATCCTAACAAGGGAGGGGTGTGTGGGTGAGTCAGCCGTGTTAATGAGAAACACCTCACCCAGCTGATTAGGACTAATGAAGAAGAACGGAGGGAGTGCGGGGCTCATCAGTGACGTCTTTATAGTGTTGGGGGAGCAGGACCGGTCCCCCAGTCCCATCTCCCCCTCAGCAAGTCAAGAACAGAGCAACTTTGGTGTCCACAGGAAGAATAGAGGTCAGACATAAGGATGAACCTCAAGGGCCAGGAGGGTCCTAGCTGGGAAGGGGCAGCCAGGTAATGTGGGGAAAATGTGTGAAATCCTCCAGCACCCTGCCCCTCTTCCTGCACTTCCTCCACTTTCTCTGTTTTGACACCAGAGCCAATCTTGGTGCTCAGGGCTGTGCCCCCTGGTTGCCTTCTGAGAGCCACCCCACGTCTGCAGAGGGCTGTGAGGCATGCTGTTCAGAAGCCTCCAGCTGTGCCCTTCACACCGAACCCTGGGAGAGAAGGCTCCAGCTTGAGCCACTTACTGGTTTGTGCATTCAGTGTCCATGCAGATGCCACATGGCTCTCTGTAATGACCCAGGGAGGTCTGGTAGGGCTGAGGGCAGGAAGGGGCTGTGCAGGGGGAACCTGGGCATCAGCTTGAGGCCCTCTTGGCGCCCGCCCTTCCTTGTGGCAGAGGCAGATGCGCCTGAGAACCCAGCCTCAGCCCTCAGCTTCACCTATCCTTCATGCCCATCAGCCAAGGGCAGAGTCACCAGGCGTATCTGACAGATGTCCCGCTCGGCTGTGTAAGTGTGGGCATGAGGGGAGGGGGAAGGGCTGAGGGGACAGGATGGGTGTCGGCCAGCACCTCCAACACCTCCTAATTTGCATTACCACTGACACCCTTCTTGACCAAGAAAATGGAGCCAGAAATAACAAGGGGGAGGCAGTTCCCTTGGGAGGACTTTGAGGTTCCCTTCCCTTGCCTCCAAACTCCCACGGTGCCAGGGGCAAGAGGTCAGCCCCACAGCGGGGCCCTGCGCAGGAGCAATGCACCTGCTGTGGCTCATCCCTCTCCAGTTCGGGCAGACACCTCTTTCTAGCTTCCCACTTCCCTCAACCCCAAATGCCCGAGCCTTGGCCTTTCCTTCTTCAGAGTCTTCTCCACTCTTTCTTCCTCTGGGAACCCTCTCCCTGGCACACCCCTCTGGCAGCTGTGATGACGCCAGCTCTACCTAGCTGGGGAGTTGTCTCTGCCAACATTCTCAGTCTGTGTCCTGCCTCCTCCATCAGACTGGGCATTTCCCAGGGCCAAGGTCCGAACCGCCCCTGCCAATCTGGGAGCAGCTCAAGGGACCATTCTACATGGGAAATCGGCCACATAATAGAGCAGAAGGGCTTGCGATGAGATTCTAAAAACGGCATGAAGTGAATCCGGGTCCAGTGTGAGACTGCGGCTGTGTGGTGGGGCAAATGTGGATCCCCCCCCCCACAACCCCAGGACTCCCAGCTCTGCCAGATGCCTCTGAGTGTCAGGCCATGCGATCCTGGAAGAAAAGGACCAGGGCTGTTGTAGCTCCACACTCATCCCCTGCCCCAGTGACTGCGGCACAGACTCACAGACACATTTGACGCTCAAACTGTGTGCACTGAATTTACTTCTGTCCCAAAGAGGGGAGGGAGTGGTGTGACAGTCACAGCTTGGAAGTGGGAAATGATGGGCTGTGGAGAGGAGGCCCCCTCTCCGGCCAAGAGGTCCTGGCACCTGACAGGGCAAGGTGGTGAGGGTGGAGGCAGAGCAGAAGGGCCTGGCAGGGAAACCAGGTCGTGAGAGACAGCGAGAGAGCTGTGAACGCACTGTGGGAAGGAAAGAACAGTGAACTGAGAACTCCCCCACTCCTCTCTCCAGAGTTGCTATTTCAGGGGGAGAGAATATATGCAGCGCGGGGTGGGGTGGGGAGAGGCCGGCTTCCATGGGGGTCAGCCAGGCCACTGCTGCCTCCACTTTCCTAGGCATCTTTGGCCTTGGGATCCCTGAGTACTTCCTTCCTCTCTGGAAAAGTCTTCTCCTTCCCTTAAGTGTGAGGGTGGAAAGTACGATCCAGGAGATTTGGAGCTGGCCTCTTGGGACCGTGTGAGGGTCCTTGGGGTCTCAGACCTCTGGGGAAGTTTCTATTTCTTTTGCTTCCTTGGAAGGTGGGTGTGGAGGGCAGACTGTGGGGCAGGCACTGAGCCTGGCTCAGCAGGGCTGGAGTTCTTGCCCCCAACTCCACACTTAGGCGCTCTGTGCAGATCCTCCTTTAGTGCCAAGCAGGTGGGGTGAAATTTGGTGTTAGAGAAAGCCAGGGCGAAAGGCGCATCCAGGCCAGCCGAGCTCCCACAGGAGGTGGGAGCCCTCTTGATGAGGAGGCCGACCTGCTCCTTGGCCCAGGGCGGCTGGATGGAGATTGCTGTCAGCTAGAGCCCTTGCTTGGCATGAAGGGGAATTCTTGCACCCCTGTTCAACCCTCTGAAGGGTCCTGACTCATTTTGGGATGAAGGCCCCAATGCCCTGCGGGTTTCTGTGGCGGCTGGGGCAGGGGTGGGCAGGGCGGGTAGGCGATGAACAGAGACTTTTGTTTTCGCTTTTGGAGTTGGGTGGTTTCTCCACCTGATCTGGCTTCACCTGAAGGAGAGCGTTGGCTGGAGTGGGAAGAAGACCCAACTTCCATCCTGGGACGGGCTGGGCACTGGCCGCAGTAGAAGGAAACTTCGGTTAAACTTTTTGTTTTTTGAGATCGAATCTCGCTCTGTCACCCAGGCTGGAGTGCAGCGGTGCAATCTTGGCTCACTGCAACCTCCACTCCTGGGTTCCAGCGATTCTCCTACCTCAGCCTCCTGAGTAGCTGGGACTACAGGTGCCAGCCACCATGCCCAGCTAATTTTTGTATTTTTAGTAGAGATGGGGTTTCATCACATTGGCCAGGCTGGTCTCAAACTCCTGACCTTGTGATCCTCCCAAAGTGCTGGGATTACAGGGGTGAGCCACCACACCCGGCCACCTTAGGTTAAACTTTAGGAAGAACTTCCT